GATGTGCAGTGTTGGCCATTGGGTTTTTGATAAAAACTATACAGGTATTTTTTTTGTGGCTGTCAGAAAGAACCAATTTAAACAAAAACACAATCAAGTATTTTACAGAATAAAAATTAGGCCTGCTTATGTAATTAAGTTGACCCTCCATTCTAAATAAGACTTCAACACAAGTGAAGATTATCTGTCCCAGGCAAATCCTTCCTACGGATTACATGGTGCATAAACTAATAAGGGTTTATCTTCTTTCTGAGAGGGGAGATAACTAGAGGAACATTAAAACGTTAATGTGGCATTAAAGAATTGCAAACAGAATTAGGAAATTAGGTGGTTGTGAGTCTCACAGCAATATCAAATCACCATTAAGTTTCAATATGCAGATTCTATGTGCAGACACACAGAATTCAGAGTACTCTGTGTATGCAGAACTGTTTTGCTCTGTGAAGTAAAAATGCCAAGTACGCATAAGCTGTTTATTTTAAAAGGTAATCTGAATATGGTCAGCGTAAAATTTTGCATGCACCATATTCTATTTTTGGGGTATCATAGTCACAAAAAGAAGCTAGACAAAATTTTTATCATTCAGCATAATTTAGATGAAGATACTTTGGTAAAGTAACTGAGACATCATTAAAATGTGCTGGTTTACACCCTAAAAAGCTAAAAATATATTTAGTATCTACCATCTGAAAGACTTCCATGAAGACTGTAATATGTCTATTTGGGAAAATATCTATTTATTTAAAAGGCTAATCAGTGAAAGCTATAACCTAGACTTGAAACTAGGAAGCTACCAAAGAAGGAGTCAGAGAAATGAACTGCCTTGCTTTGTTCCCAGTCACTTTTTTGACTACTGGCTTGAGATCACCATTGACTGGATGCTACATATATGTATTGTAGGATAAGCCTTCTGAAGAATCTAAATCCATTTAATAAGATTCACATCTCTAACAGCTGAAGATAAAACTATTAATTTTAAAGCTTTACTGGGACTGGTTCCTCACTTGTTTCCTTAGGTCTTTGTGGCAACGATTCTACAAGTCTTCTGTTCATAAGTGTCCTGAATATGTCTTCTTTTGTCCATAACTGATCTTTTTAAAGGAAATACAAAGTCTATAGAATTATAAAATGTTTCTGAGTTTTAGGAAAATTGTAACTGGAAAGGAAAATTAGTAATTGATACTCCAAAGAAGCATAAGCTTAACTCTTTATAATTATAGGTTCTATAAATTATTCTAATTTGTTTATATTGTATAGTACCCATGGCATTTATTGCCTTCCGATGCAGTGGAAAATAGGTCTATATAAAAAACATAATATGTTTGACATAGTTGTTGGTCTATAATATGTTGGTCCAGATTTGAGAATGTGTTTAAATTCTTACCTTCTACTGAGTCCCCATTTCTCACTGAAAATCAAACAGCTGCTGGTACCTAAAGAACACTTTTTTGAACATCAGCCTTCCTGCTGTGTGCTGTCACTCGGTGTCACATGCTCTCAGCAAATTACTCTTGTATCTTTTGGCTGATTTGAAGTATCTGGTTTATTTCAGGTATAGAAAATCATGATGTTAGTGCTGACAGTTCTCTGGTTCAATTGCTTCTCATCCCAACCACTCTGCAAAAGCAAGGAATAAAAGTAGGAGATGATCCCACAGAGACTTGGAGATAAGAGATTCAGAACCTACTTGACAAGTGACACATACTCTGTTCTTCAGCACTATTTAGCACCTTTTTGATCTTACATGTCTTAAGATACAAGTTTTCCTATACTCACTTTTTTCCTACTCCTAAATTCTCTAGCTAATCCCTGTGTTCCCTACCCCTTGGTACTTCCAGGGATTTTTTGACCCTCAACAATAAATTCAGTAACTTCCCAGTTCCCAAAGCAGTCTGGATGATGTTTAAAGACCAAGGGTTTTTAATAAGAGGGCTCTTGTGCAGATTAGCCTGGAACAATAAAGGGCTACATTCTAGCCAGCTTTCCTTTGATGGACACATTACTTAGGGATTTTATCCTGATGGGTTCAGTTGCTATAAAACTGCACAGCTGAGGGAGTACAAGAAAGACAGGTCCTGACCAGACCAATACAGTGTTCACTGTTGACAGGGTGAAGAATTAAACTAAGAGATGAACAAATAAACAGTTAACAAAAAATTTTCATTTTATTTCCAAGCAGTTTAAAACATTTAGAGACAATGAAAAGCCAGTAGACATGGTAGAAGTTACACATAACTGTGAATTTCTTCTCTTTTAAATGAAATGTAGTCTGCGGTCTCTCTAAATCCATGTCCTGTCTCCACCCTGGATACGGCATTCAATTCTGCAGCCTCCCCCCAGTCTCAGTAAAAATAGAACTGGAAGATTCAGAAATGGTTGACAAGGACAGAGGCATAGAAATGGGATTTCATAACTGAATTAAAATGGTAGGAAAGTATGAAAAGGGCACTGCTTCTGTTTGTGACAAAGCTGTCTAGATAATAAAAGCAGGCAAAATCTCAAGTCTGTTTGAATTCAGTACAGATGATTTCCTCAGTGCATTTGCATCTCTTACTTGGTGATATATTGAAAAAATTATTATCAATTAATTTGTTACTGCAGAACAGGCCTATTGCCTTCCCTGCCTACAGGCCATGGTTTCATAAAAACCTTTAGGCAAAAGGAAGTGATACTGGAGTCTCTTTCCATGGCAGGGTGGAACTGCTAATTTGAAGGTGTCTCCTATCACATCACAGTATCAGAATCATGTAGGTGGCGAGGGACTTCTGCAGGTTTTGTAGTCCAGCTTTCTCCTCATGGCAGGTTCCATTAAAGCAAGTTGGTTTTAGTCGTGTTCAATTGAGTTATGTATATCTTGAAGGATGGACCTGCCATAACCTTTCAGGGCAAATTGTTTCCATATTTGATTCTTAAAAAAAAATAAATAATTGTTTCCTATATTGAATTGCTGTAGGTTGTACTCATTGCTTCTTGAGCCCCTCTGGGACAAATGTAGCTGTATCTCTTTTACACCCTTCCATTACAAAGTGCTTCACAGCATGATGATCTCCACTCACCATCTTAAAACCTGGGCAAATCTAGCTCTTTCATCTTGTAGGTCATGAAGTGCAGCTGCCTGAGCAGTTTGGTAGCCTTGATTTAGTGTTTCAATGGCTTTCTTAAAATGAGACACAGAGCTCCAGATGTGGTGTCACAAGTGTCAGATGGAGGGAAAGAATCAGTTCTCTCCAAACACACCAGTGGTACTCAGCCCAGTTTGCAGCTGGGCACATTAGCTCCAAGAGGCCGTGGTTGACTCACATTCAGCTTGTCCACCACAACCCTCAGCTCCTTTTCTACAAAGCTGTTTTCTATCCAGTCAGTTCCCAGTCTGTCCCACTTGGGGGGTTATGACAATCCAGTTGCAGGGCTTCACATTTGCCTTTGCTGAACATCATGAGGTCCCCAAGAGCTAATTTTTCCAGTCTGACTAGGTATGTCTGAGTAGCAGCCCTGCCTTTTAGTGTATCAGCCACTCCCCCCAATTTGGTATCACCCACAAATGTGCTGAGAGGTCACTCTATCCCATCATCCTGGTCATTACATCAGCCATTTCAAGAATCCATGTTGATATAACCTATATAAAGAATACAAGTCAAATATTCTTCCAGAGATATGCTGGAGACTTCAAATTTTGCTTTAGAAACACACACACATTGCATTGCCAAGTCTCTTTTTTTCTCAAGATATAAAATAAGAAGTAGCCCTGAATTCCACAAGAAGCAAGTCGCGAGTCTTTTTTTGGATGCAAATGCCGAATGTAGAATTTGACTTAGTGCAAATCTTCTGAAAGGCAGAGATGACTGTCAGAACCTAAGAGCTAAGCAAGCTGGAAATTATTTATAGAGTCCTTCCCCAGCATCTCCAGTGTGTGCCTTTGCTCAAGACAGGCTATGTATTTCAATGCCATAAAAATGGACAGAACTGCATCGGTAAATACGTGGTACTCTGGGGAAGTTCTTGCAGTCTTGTTACTTGCCTGGGTGGTGGTATGGACAGAATGGACTCTGTGCCAGCAGCTCATGTACTAAAGGAGCAGAGGGGAGAATGAGGATCAGGAAAAAAACAGAACTAGAAGGATGGGAGAAGAAAACTGTAGGAGTAATTCAGCTCCTCTGCAGACATTATTGCAGTTTCAAGAACATTTCTATAATAACCTTTCCAGCACAAAACTGTTACGGGCAGTGACACACTACATGGTGTTTTTGCAGCATGAACAGAGTAACATTGCTGCCAAAGGGCATGGAAAGGACAACAGTACAGACACAATCCCCAAAATTCTCTTGGGGCATATTGTGCTACTCAGAGACTTAGTATTACCAGAGACATTACAAGTTATGACACAGGCTGGTGTAGTTTTAAAGCTGGATTTTGTTGTGTATGCTAGAACTGTATCTGAGATAATACATGTACATATAAAATGGCTTAGCAGAATGTTTTCTAATCTTCCACATGGAGCTTGTCACTCTAAACTTGTGTTTATAACTCCTGTACAATTTGGGACAACATCTCCTACAACATTAGCTGAAGAAAACATTGATAAACAGGAAGCATTGGTTTTGAAAAGGAACTGAGAGAAGATGGAAGGACATGAAAGTGAGGAAACCCAGCCAAAGCTCCAAAAATGGGAACAAAGGCACTGAATATTTCCAAACAAATACTCAGATAATTATGGCTGTTTGGTTTGGTATTTTTATGAAGACAAAAATTATAAAAAAGTTACATACTATGTGGACATTTAGTGTCTGAAGGAACACACACTTGTAAAGAATACATTCCAGGCAGAATCTCTGTCCCAATCCAATGTTTAAGAAGACATGGGGTAACTCGGAGACATTTACCAAGTATAGCAACAAGTAAATGCAGTCATTTGACTTAACTGCTGGGAAGCAACTCTTCAGTTCTAATTATTCTGATACCCTCACAGTAAGGCATGTGCTTCTTTCCTTATTTTCCTCCAGGAGACAGTGTCACAGAAGAACCTAATCTGGGACTTAACCTGGGATGCAAAACATCAAATTCCTGCAGCTCTGCTACAGCCATCATAAAGCACCTTAAGCAAATCATCCTGCCTCCATTCCCATCTCTAACAATGGGAAAATAATTTCTTTCACCATTCTTTATTAGTTCATTAATTCAGTGGGACAGTGAGTATGTCCTATGGCTTAAATGCCACATGCTTAATGCTGTAGGCATATTTTAGCACTTTGCTTAGACACCTACAGACCCTAGTACTTCTGTACTCAGCAGCAGCAACACTACATTGGTTCACAACAACTAAATGCAGAGTATATATAAATTTGACTAAGGTAGGTGCTATGCTTTTTCATTTCTCAAGAAAAATAACTGTTCTCATGAAATAAAAAAAAATAACGGAACTATTATTACTACAAAAATGCAGTTTTTCAGCTGTTAAGTCAGCAGGAAATCTACTGTTACACTTTTTGTAAGATCACTCCCTTCACCTGATCACAGGGTAGTGGATAACTTGCACTTACATTAACTATATTTTAAGCCATTCTAGCACTTTCCATAAACATTTTACCATTTTGGGTTATTATATTCTGTTGTTTTCCTGCATGTAGATAATCCTGGACCCTGAGAAATGAGGCTTCTAGAACTCATTTAACAAGTTTACTAATAGCAGTGTTATGCTGTGAGAATGTTCCTCAGTACAGCCATGTGTCTCAATTATATTAATCTATTTCTCAGACTTAAAAACAATTAAAGTAATCATAAGGCACATGCAGCCTTGTTTGAGAAAGTGTATTTGAAAATCAAATGCTTCTCCCCACCCCTGCATAGCTCCAGTTGACAGTCAAAAATAATTCATCAGTAAGAGGGAAAATGCTATTTGTCACATATGACTTAGGCCAGTTTCCAAGTGCTTCAAATAGAAGAAAAGAAACACTACAAAAAGAAATATGACAGGTCTACACTGCCACATAAGTTTTTAATTAAGAAATTTAAAGGGAACTAAATCTAATTTTAAAAAACATTATTCTGTCATTGTAATCCATATGAACTCCCAGTCTGTTACTAGTATATTTTCTTAGCCATGTGCCTGACAATTAACTGGACAATCTAGCTCTGCCTCAATAAACGTATTTCCTTCTATCAGATTTCCTCCCCTCTCACCAATTTCACTGGATGCTCTCCTTTGAACTTTTACTATACTCATAGGACTCAGAACTCATGACTTGCATTCCTTACTTCATCACTATATACAGTTTCTGTCCCTACACGTCTTTGTGTACTTTCTGATTGAAGCAGCTGTAGTCTGATTTCAGTCTCATTTGATTTTTCAGTGGTTATAAGGTTATACTTTCTTCAGAGAAAAATATATCAGCTGCACTAACACATTGCATCAGTCACCCTCCTGAAGAACAACATGAAATGTAATTCACCTTGCTCACTTGGATACTGTTTTTCATTGTCATATGCAATGGTATGCTGGATGGGATAGTGTTCAACTGGAAGTTTCATTAAGCAGCTCTTGGACACCATTAAAGTGTTCTAATAGGTGTGACTTATTGAGCGGAAGAGTCGGTAAACAAATGAAGTATAAGTGACAGTACGAGACCAGAGTAACAGTAATTAGCGATGTGACTCCATGAGTAATAGGAAAATTGCCCTGACCCAGTTGATGGCAATAGCAATGAAATCTTAAAAAAAAAATTTAAAAAAATTTCCCCAAATGGGTTTTCTACCAACACTTACAAGAGTCATGAGCAACCTTTCTGATTGCCACACAACCCATTTCACTCATATTCCACTCCAGCTGTGTTAGGACACAGTGGCAGGTGTGCTCCCCATGTTGTCCAGAGCCAGGCGCAGGGGTGGAAGAAGGACGGGCTGGCAGCACTGTCCCAGCACCTGCAGCTGCTTGGTACAGATCTGCCAGGCATCGGGGCTTCACAGGCAGCCTCCAGCAACCTTCCGTTCTCTGCAGAGCACCAGCACTTGGGTGGGAACCCTGCTTACTTCAGCTGTGTGGAGTTCACACTGTCACCCTCTGCCTTGCCAGGAGCCATGCACAGTCCTGGCTGAGCTGCCACACCTTGCCTGGTGTTCTGCACGCGGTTGCACAAAGGCCTACCAGGTGTACAATGGTTTATCGATATCCTGCCTCCGATCAATGTTCCACATTTATCCCACGCTACCCTCACCTCAGTGCCAACACAAACATTTCAGAGAACCTAGATTAATGAGAGCATAACAAAAACAAATCTGATCTGTCTGTGCATGCTTTTTGTCTCTTGGAATCACATCACATATGATTTTCCACCTCTCCTGAATAAAGAGGAATGTTATAAAACAGAAATCAGAGCATTTTAATGCAAAAATAGAATTATCCCTCAGTATGTGCATGAAAAAACGATTTTATTTCTTTGATGAAAATACCATTCACAAAAAACCCCCACCAAGCTACCAGCTGCTCTCCAATAGATGACATGACCAAGAAAAATTTCCTGGTAAGTGCCATAAATAAAACTAGTTTTATTTCTCTTTTCATATCCTAGCAGTGTAGGCCTCAATGGGATCCTATGGGGGTAATATCCTGGAATATAATAATGCCAAAAAAAAAATAGAAATAGTATGTACACTACAAGACAAAACACATGCACACAAAATCAATACTCTGAATTTCAGGGCTCCTGATTGCTCAAACAACTGACAGGAAATTCACTGGTTTCAGTGCAATTGTAAAATGTCTGAAGAAATACTTGGAAAGTATGAACAGAGAAAAAATCACATAAAAACAAGTGGTATTGTCTGTGTGTGGAGAGAGGCAATGAAACTGACTGTAATAAGATACCTAGTAATATGTTTTACAAAATAATACAAGGTTTGGAAAGGGAACGGAAAAATATGCAAATATAATACAATGTACAAAAAATACTCACTTTGAGAGTCTATTTTGTTTGAGGTACAATTAAAAAGTTTTTATCAACCTACAAATATTCGTAACCAGTTTATGAGTTGGTTGTTCTTTAGTCATCCAAGGAAAGGAGTAATCAGTAGATGAAGTCTGGCTGATGCAGACTCCAGATACAGCACGTCTTCAGCACTGGTTATAATTAACCACTAGACTAACTTACAACACAGTTCCTGCTTTCCTCTTCAGATCTAGATAAAATTACTGCTGTAATTCAAAAAGAAAATATAGCTACCAGAGCAGAAAGGTGTGGAGGAGCGGAGAGGCGGCCCCATCCCAAGACCTGCGGGGTGTGACTCCTTGTGCCTGCACCGCGCTCCGCTGCCCGAGTGACAGGTCCCAGCTCTCGCCGGCTCTTCCAGCGGCAGCTCCTCCCTTCTGGCCAGATGGACAGCACAGCTTGGACTTGGGCTCCGGCTCCGGGGGACCCGGCTCGGGGCAGAAAGCAGCCTGTTATAGCCGGGACGCCTCCGCTGCGGCTCACACGTACGCGCTCCGCTGCCGGGACCCGCACCCCCGCCCGCCGCTGCCCATGGCACCGCTGTCCCCGCTGCTGCTGCTGCTGCTGCTGCTGCCGGTGGCCGGTGAGTAGAGCAGCGCCCCGGGCCGGGGCTCGGCATCCACACGGTTCTTCCCGGCAGGGAAGCCGCCTCGTCCAGCGGCGCCTCCGCGGGCTCGGACCCGGAGGGATGGGGCTTGGCAGCATCGGGGGGCAGGTGGGAAGAGGGGTAGAGAAAGGAGTCTTAGGAGACACAGTGACGGGAAGTGCCTGTCTTCCCACGCCGGAGAACAGTCCCTGTGACAGGTGGCCAGCGCTCGGGCACAGCTGGGTGGGACTCGCCCACGGGAAGCCCCGATTGCCGCTGCCAGCGGCGGCCGGAGCTGCCCTGCCAGCCGGGGACTGCCCACGGGAGCGGGGCTGGAGGGGCGCACATTACTTCTGTAAAGTTCGTCAGTAATGTGCAACTCTGCTAACCAAGAACTTTTCCGTGCTTCAAATCAGTTTGCAGATTGCACGTTCAATAACAATATTTCTATAAGGCCAGTAGCTTTACTCCCACTCTTCTCCGGGTACTGGAGTGAGTTATCGCAGAGCTCTTGAGTTACTAAGCAGTTCAGAAGCAGGAATTAATTGGTAGAACTGAGACTGCCTACAAAACCCTAACTGGGTTATTCTGAAAAATGAATCAGTTCATGAATGAGTTATAATGTGAGAATATAATTAAAGGACCCCTGCCTCACACCTTTGCACAGCCAATTACTCACTTTGCAAATATTTAATTATTTTTTTTTGTCCCCTACATCCTATTTATTAATCAGTGTTAAAGACCGGTTGTAACAATTCACAGTCCATTTCCTCGTAGGTTTTCTGATGTATTCATCAGTACAGTATCCGATTGTACTCATTTCTCTGAAACTATATTATCATCTCTCTTTTTCAGATAAGTGGGTGGGCTGACACAAAAACACATCCTCTGACTTAAGGTTCCCTTGGGGACATGGTGGAACCCAATTTTACCTACAACCTATTCTATGTAGAATTATGTGGAACTTCAACTGCTCAAAGCCTGGCTCTCACTGAATGCTGTGGCAGCTTGGTACTCCAACCCCAGGATATTCAGCAAGCTGAGAGGCTACTATTTGTAACCATCAATAGGCATTGTTTTAAAGTGATTAAATTAACCTCATTCTGAACCTTTGTGACTGCTGTAAGGATAAAATCCTTAAGTAAAAGGTTCTCTTGCATTTTTTTATTATTCATTTCTACACAGCTTGCAAATTCACCACCACACCAAATCTTGCAAATAGCAGGATCCTAAGAAAAGAGCCTCAGTTCATTCCTAGAACAGATTCTGGGCACAGAATGGAGCAGGGTCTGGGGGGAGGCAGTCGTGTGATTAAAGCCCATAAGGTAAGGTGCTTGCATAATGGGGCCAATTAGGGCCCCACCAAGCTCCCTGCCCCAGTTCTACTTCGTGACCTCAGATTGCCCCTATGATTCCTTCTGCATTTTGATCATCCTCCAGACTTTATCCTTTTCATGGCACAAACCTCAGCAAGAACATTAAGGAAAGCAATGAAATCACTGCTTCTGCCAGCTTTGAGTGCTCATTACAGGGAGCCTGTCTGCGCTCTGATAGCTGAGTCAGGCACTTCAGTCACTCACTCCGTGGGCAGTGAGGAGCACGGGAAATGCAATTCACCTGTTTCCCAATTGGTCCAAAGTATCAAAAAGGGCAAATTTAACCTTTTAAAGAATTTACATGTGACCAGAATTTTTGGAGATAGCATGTAAGTCATCTGGGCAATAAAATGAGGTGAAAATGGCCATTCCTGATGGCTTATGAAGCAAGTAGTAAAAATCTAAGCAAAATCTAAGGTTTCTATAAGGCATACAGTTCTTTTTTTCTATGCCTTATAAAGCAATTGATTTAAAATAAATACAATCTGGCTCACTCCCTTTTTCTCCACCTACAAGGTGCATGCACACGATCTACATGACAAAATCCAAAAATCTGACTAGATATTGAGGGACAACACTGCTCTCTCAGGAATGCATAATCAAACTCTCAGTCACAAAGTCTTCATAAAAACAAAAAAAATGCACAGAAGATTTCAAAACTCTGATCATAAAATATTTGGAAATATGCAGAACATCAACTTACTCTCTAACTGTATTCCACAACATATTTGATAAAACACTTTGGAGATTTTGTTATATGGCAAACATACTGATGTTATCATCATCATTATCAACATATTGATACTCTGTTTCCATAGTTCTGTGCATTCTCAGATGGTATTTCATTGCTTGCATTAACTCAGCTCATGAAGCTGTTGTGACAGACTATCATATTGAGAGTATCTATGCCGTGCTGGTTTACAATTGGATGTCCAGATCCTGTAACACAAATATATTACAAGGACAAAAGGTTTATGTCCTTTCCTTTAAGACACGTGGCATATTTTACTTGAGGTCCTCAGGTACCAGTCCATCACTTCTACTTGTCATGGATTTAAATCAAGGGACTGGGAATTGTCCCAAGTTAGCAAACAATTCTCTGATGAAATCAGGAACATGACTTGAAATTTCTTATTTCCTTCTTCCTGACTTTTATCTCTCCTACACCATCCTTCCCCAGTTGCCAAGAACTGAGACACAATGTAAAAATTCTTCACTTTTTTCAGAATCCCCAAGGTCATGCAGAGCAAACCCAGCTTTGCCATTAACCATGGTTCCTGCAGACACTACTGGCTGTCTAAAAGAGTAACCATTACTAAATACTGAAGAGCATAACCAGTTGTCACTTGTAATGCTGCAGCGTTATTGCAGGGTTTTCAGCTCAGAATATACTGAACTTGTACTGACAATGAAGATAACACTTTCAGTCTATCATAAGGTTAATCTGTTTATTATCAAATGGATGCTTCTGCTACCCAGAACTAACATTTCACACTAAACATACAGGTAATGGTCTGGAACAGGAGCCATGCACAACAGACACTGCTCACTGTCTTAGCAAGGAAGTTTAGTGGCAACTCAGCAGTTTTGAAATAAAACTGCAATCGACTACATAGCAAGGAAGCTTTTCTTAATTCCTCAGGATATGATTGCTTTTAATCAACAGCCAAAGCTGCATGTGCAAGTTTAAACACCCTTGTTTCAACACTTCTGCCCCTAGATCACATGCCCAAAAAGCACAAGGGAAAAGATATGGGAGTGGTGACCAGTCAGAAAAGCACTAACTGCTGCCTCAGGACTCTTCCTAAGTGTTTTTTTACTGTTTTCACACACAAACCAATTAAATTTCTTACTAGGATGATTTCATGAGGTGCTTAAATTCTATTGTCTCATGACATTACAAGTGCCAGAGATCACCAGCATCCCACACATTTCAAGTTACTCAACTGTGCTGGGACCGGTATTTTTTCTGTCAGATTTTTCATTAACTGATTAGAGTTAATAATATAATCTGTTATGATATAATCTATTACAAAAGATTACTCTATTGTGCCATTATAATAGATTATGTGATTATGCAGATTATATAAAAACTGCATAATCATGTAGTATTTTGTAGGAAAGTAACTATCAAAGTCTTTAACAACTAAGTCTATTTTTTTCTGCTGTCCGTCTCCATCACAGGTATTATCAGTTATTAAATCTTAATGTCTTTTGGAATCTGTAACCAGTACTGAAGTTTAGGTTTATAAATTCTTCTCCTCATACCAAAATAAGTAATTAGTTTAATTAATAAGCAGCCTTCTAAAACGAATTTGTTTTCTAGTCATTCAGCTTTTTAAAATTTGCTGTGAATAACTTGGAGCCTGCACTGCAAGGAGAGGCTGCCCATTACCATCAGGATCTTCAGTGTATTAGTTCAACCTCTCAGGATGACATGAACCCCTAAAAATGTCACCCAGAGTCTCAGTTTTCTGGTGCTTCAGAACTCCTGCTTTAGTACTGATATGGGATGGTTAAAATACAGTACCTAAAGTAAGTTGTGCTCAGGAGAAATAGTAGTGAGAATCACTTAAACAACAGCAACCCCAAACAAAAGTAAACAGGAAAATAACCAAACCCCACCTTTCTAATTTCCCTGGAAAAGATTCCAAGCACCCACCCATTTCCTTGCCTTATATCCACCACACCATCCCCACCAGTTATTTGGCTGCTTTGTCTAAAAAGAGGAAAACCAAAACCCTATCATAAAGGACCTATTTGTTCCAATGTAAAGCACTACATTCTATAAAATAACATGGGCAAAATTGCATGTTATGTTAAAAAGAAAACACTGCAACCCTGGGGCAGCTAATCTTAGCAACTGGGTGGGTCAGGGCCACAGAACACATGCTGGCCCTCACCAGTTGGAAGACTGGAAATGACTGGTCTGCCATTGTACACTGCCTCCATGGGAGGAAAGCACTGCAGCTGTTCTCAATGTTCAGGATTCTGCTCACTATGGACGGAGGACAAAGGGACTGGGTCAAGCAGCGTGGCCCCAAAGTGTCAAAAATAAAACTGGACTATTTTCAAGTCCTGTCATTTATTATCAATGCTTAAAAAAACCCAAACAATCTGAACTATTTTATATTTGCATGTTGGATTCAATAGTAGTTTTTCTTCCACAGTTTATAAAGGCACTTTTGGGGAAGCCCATTTGAGAAATCGAAGAGGAATTCTGGAATTAGCCGGAGCCATCAAATGCACCACAGGGCGCTCTCCTTTTGCCTACCTCCGCTATGGATGCTATTGTGGCCTGGGAGGAAAAGGATGGCCCAAGGACAGAGTAGACTGGTGAGACTAATGATTTATCTGACAATTAATTAAATGCTGAATGCAGATGATGAATAAAAGGACTAAAATATAAATTAGGCCTATTTGAGAGAAGGAACTAAGTTTAAATATAACTCAGATTGCTAGGAAACTCTGAAACATTCAAATTGTGTTTCTGTAGATCTACAAGAGCTTGCCTTTAATTCAAATTCTCATTGCATTAGTACAGGATTCAAAGCACAACTGAGTTTCTTTGCTATCACTGTTTAGCAAAGAGTTAAATAACTAAAGACTTGTTGGAGAAGCTTTAAAGTTCAAGCATTGAAGCTATCTAAATTAAAAAACTAAAAAATTAAAAAACAGGCAATAAAAATATTTTGATTTTACTATCTTCCATATTATTAGTATTCAAAATAATACATAAGAATTACTCAAAATTCAACCTGGTAAAAATTATAAAAACCAAACCTTTCCATTTAGTACTAAATTTCAGCATACTATTATCAATGTAATTTGTAATTGTACATTAACTGACAAGATGAGTGTCTGGGTTTTGTTCTGGTTTTGTTTTGTTGTTGTGTGGTTTGGGTTTTTTAAAAAACTTATATTCATGAAAGGGAGTTACTGAGCTGTGTTGCTCAACTGTTAAGTACCACAAGATCTTTACACAGTGATCTGTGGGGAATGACCAAGTAATAATATAATAAGCATAGGAAAAACAGTAATTGCAAAGTGAGAGCTCACAGCATTAACTTTTCCTATTGCAGACAAATTCCTCAGACAACCTAAACACCATCTACCTACTGTAATCTGATGGTTTTAGTCTACCAGGAGGAAACTGAACCAATAAATGAAGGAATTAAATAAATTAATAATGACTGAGTACTTGGTGGATACACCCAGTTCTTCCAGCAAGTCAGAAAGAAAGGGTGTAATTAGTTTGCAGCAAAAACTTACAAGCTGCCTAATTTCAGGTCCTTGTTGCCTCCTCTACTTGGTTTTCTGGGCTTGCAATGACTCCACACCAGACACACTACAACAGCATATTTTAATGCCTTTTTTAAACACTAAAATTTCATTAATTCTTACCTGTACTGTTCAGTTTCACAATGTCATAGAAAGACTATAAATTCTTTGTTCCAACTATGATGAACAATTTTGAAACAATAATTTTGAGCAACTTTCCAAATTTTCTGATGATAATGAGCTGACAGTTCATTTTGTGGAAGGTGTTAGGAGAAAAGCATACTCATACTTTGTAATATAATATAAATTCTCATGTAATTGTGAATGCCCTGAAGATTCAATTAGCTCAATGTATATCAGACATTTTTCTCATCACTTATTACATGAAAAAGTAGTAATTTTTTCCAATTACCCTGGTTTGGTTCCTGGGCAGGTAACATTTGTACACTCACTGATACTGACCCTTTTGTCACAGCTGTAGTAACCCACTGATAAACCCCACCCAGATTGTGTGACCATAAATCACCATTTCTGCTCCTCTCAGGTGCTGCTTTCACCACGACTGCTGCTATGGGAGGGCAGAACAAGCAGGTTGTCAACCAAAGACTGAAAGTTACCACTGGGAATGCGAAGACAATTCTGCTGTGTGTGGTGAGCGAGCACTTGGGAGTTTTTTGGTGTTGGGTTTTGGAGTTGGGTTATTTGGTTTGGTTGTTTCTTACTTCTTCAAATTACCTCATTAGAAAGGTATTTTCTTAACTGTAAAACTCTTAGTTTACCATCCTTCCTTTCATAACTTTTATTGCCAGGATACACTGTGCCTCCAGATAGCACAGCTAAACTGATCAACTGAATGCAGTTTCTTCTTAATCCTCCCCTACTGACTGACATAAGCAAACAAAACTGATCTAGAAGTATCTATTACCTTTTCAGAAAACACAACCACAACCATCCTCCTTTTACTCAACGTTTATATCTGCTGAGGAACCCAAACAGGAGACAAGACAATTTTAACAGTTTAAAAGGATCTTTTCCCTACTTAGTTGAAAATATTTCCCACTATTTGTAAGTTTAAAATGGACAAGATTTTGGCATATTTATCCCTGAGCAGTTGCAGTGATGGCTGAAATTTATGAATGAATTCACAATTACAGTTTACAGTTTCAAACAATAAGGTAATAAAATATTTGCTGAGTACGTTTATTTCTGGAAGTTAAATTAAAAAATATTAATTTGAAAATATTTACATGACAAGTGTACAGATTGCTGACCACATCCTGATAAATTTTGTTTGATTGCTTCAAAATATATTCGCCATGCTGAGGCAAGGGAAGGACAAAGAGATCACCAAGAAAGAAAAGCCTCAAAAAATGGTTAACGGAAAGCAGCTTTTCTTTTACATTATTTGTTCACAACTCCCAAAGTTTTAGCAAATACTTTCCAATATGAGTCTCAAAGACTCATTGAAACTGTAGCTTCTCACAAGCCTCCCAATATTTCTACAGTTTTTTTTTGTTGTTATTGTCATGTTTTTGTAATTTTGTTTGTTTGCTGGCTGTTTGGGATGTTGCTTGCTTTGTTTTTGTTTTTTTGGTTTTGTTTTGTTTTTAAAATCAGGTGCTTGGTCAGTTACTTTGTGTATAATTTTGCGCTTCTACCTAGAATGCAAATGAGCTTAAGAACTGGTTATTATTTGCACTATAGAGATGCAAAAACCCTTACATAAACTTGTTTAAAACAAGTCTGAGTTTCTGACTACCATGGTTTAAAGGCAACAGTTGGCCATTCACAGAGAACACAAAACCCTCTCATTTCATAACTCAATTTAGAATTTGCTTGACCTGAAAAGAAATGAAAGTTTGGACATCACTTTCTTTCCTCCTTCACATTCAACCTTTACTTTGCCCAAGTGTCCACCTCATTCAGAATCTCTACTTGCTCATTTCTTCCCCTGCCCCAGATGTACAAAGCAACTTCTCTCTCAATTAATTAAGAGATAATCAAACTGATTAATCATATTACAGTCCACCCTTATTTGGCTGTAAAGATTCTGCTCCTAACAATATTCCAAATACTGGCCAAGATAGCAGGCATAGTGTCAGGAAACCAAGTCCCTGGTGTAGCATGGAGAAGATAATGTGTGGAGCATACCAGGAGAAGAACAGGACTAGTTCTCAGTTACCATGTTTTGATTTTTTTATCCTATCATGTTGTTCATGCCATTTGTGCTATTGAGTAGCTCTAAGGGCAGCTAGTTGCAGCATAAACACACATACATTAAGAACACTTCCATTTCATGGCAGAATTTGAGTTCATTCGTAAAACTGAACACTTGTTCTGCTCCTGGACAAATCTCAAACAGAGACTTGGCTAAGCTTTTAAAATGGTAAACACTCAGGCAAAATGTAATCAAGGATTCTTCAGTTTACAGACAGTTACAGAGAGGAAAAAAACTACACACTTCTGGGTTGGCACGCTAAACCCAAAATACATTGCTGTAGAAGAAAATGTTCATGCCAAGAAGAAACACTCATGCCAAAAAATCTGTTAAGTTACAACACTACAATTATAAAACAAACATGACAAGACATGGATTTTATCACACAAACACACTTTACCTAACTTCTTACTGAACACCTCAATAAAAAAAGGTGGGAAGTTTAGGCTGCCATAGGCTGGACATGGAATACATCTGCATGCCATGTATATATCACATGTATTATTTTTAATGCTATATCCTATAGCAGATTACAAAGGGTATGTGAATGGAGTATCTTCCCAAAGTCAAGTTTCACTAGAGCAAGAGGGAAGGCAGGGAAGGTTCCATACCACTTTCTAAAGTGAGATCAGTTATCAGAATTCCTTTATTAAAAACTGGAAGAAGAGTATTTAAATCTTTATCTGGCTGCTGTATTTTCACCTGCCAAGATTGGTGATTACTGACTGATCCACAGGTTCTTACCAAAGCTTAGTACAGCTCCTATTGCACTTGAAATGTAAGGCATTTGTATGGCAAATGTGGAATGTGAGGGAGCAATTCTTGGTATTCCATTTAGGACTTTCAATTTCTTCAGACTAATATCAAACTTACTGTGTTTTCTTTCAGACTCACTAGAAGATAAATGTCAAAAAATGGCATGTGAATGTGATCGTGAAGCTGCCAAATGTTTTTCTAAAGCTCCCTACCATAGAAAATACCTTTTGTGGCCAGACTTTATGTGTGGTGAGATTCAGCCTTTGTGTAGATATTAGATACATGACTCTTGTATATATTTAAATCTACAATGACTTTTTTTCGGCCACAGTAATGACAACAAATGATTTTCCCCTTTCTTGATACTCCCTCATTCCACCTCAGCCTCTCCACCCCAAAACTGCCAAAGTAAACATTTTTCCTCTTATTTACCTTTTCCCATGCACTTTTATTGACTAAAAAGAAATCTGAGTTTATCAGCTTAAGGAGTAACTGACAGTGTTAATCTTTGTTTATATTCAGATTCACAGATTTTTCAGATTGATAATATCATTCGCTGTGAACTTTTTAACCCTCTTCTCCACTGGCTGTAAGATACAAATCAAACTTCTCCACTAACAAATCTTAGCATTTGTTAACTTTGAACTGACTGGAAAAAGTGCAAGAAGTGACAGTATCAGCACAAGGAGCCCTCTCATCTACATTAAACACTTAGTACAAAGCCTAATTTAAGTGCTGAATTTCATTCACCAACAGTAATTTTACCTGCATTGAAGATGGCCTAGTATACTATTTTTTTTCCTAGCACTTACTTTTTAAATAGAGTTTTCTAAACAGCTGCTTATTTGGTATGGCTCAAACTCCTTACTCTATGTACACCCTAAATTTCCTGTAAGCACAGAGAGTACCCTTAGAACTTTAGAGCCAAATTTAAAAACGCAAATGCAAACCATCACAAAAACAAAAACATAAAAAAATGTAGAAGTTGTTGGGACCAACTGGCTTTCCCACAAGTGTCTGATTTTGCACAGCAAGAGTTTATGAAGCTCAGAAGTATATACAACTCATCAGGATGTAAAGCTGGTTTTAGCTAGAGTCACTTCATAGATACTTTTAACCTAACCCTTTGGGAAATCAGTTCCCTGAACTGCTGAATAATACACTTTTTTGTAACTGCTGATTTTAACAGTTATAGAGCCAGGAGTGGTTTATGTCTACTTTCTCTCACCTAAACTTAAAGATGCAGGGCTAAAGAGCAGTCAAAGCTTATGATATATACTTCAATATACCAAAAAAAAATCAACAACAACAAACCCAAAAAACAAACAAACACCCAAAAAACCACAAAAAATCCCCCCCAAGCCCCCCAGACAAAATAGCCCACTTCTATTAGGAATAGTGAAGATTTCAAGAGAGATCTTTAATTGTGAAAAATATTTATAGCAAATTTAGTTCACATTACTGACACAAATGAAATTAACAAAACAACAAATACAGAATGCAAGGGGACAAAGTTCTCAAAAAAAAATCTTACCTTTTGATTCAAAGGAATATACATTAACAAGTGTCAATCCTGCTTACCCAAAATAATTTTCCAGTCAATATTTGCTCACAGATATAGATAAAGACATTATATTGCCATGAGTAATTACAGTGTCAGGTCACTTTTCCAAAACAATCCTTTTTAAGAGATAACCCTGCATTTAAGAATTAGCAACAGAACTAGAAGATGAGAGAATGAAAGGAGCTATTGATGAAGTCTAACTGATCTGAATAAAAAAATTTCCATGGTAATTACCAGATTTTCCAAGACACAAGAGAATTCAAGTAGTCTTTGCCTTCAACTGCAGGAATTCTGGAACAAACTCTACTGTGAGACTGCGTATGTATAGGGCAGTCATAATGCTGCATGTAAGGAAGACTGAAATAAATAAAGTTCTTTCAACATCAAGCCGGCAGGGCATTCCTTTGGCAAACTGAATTTGAGGAACACATTGCTGGTATGAAATACTAAGTTTAAAAAGAAAAAGAAAGAGATCACTGTAGCAGTGCAGAAGACACTGATTTTAAGGCAGGCTTGAAAATACACAGAATGCTCAGGACAGAATAAAGAAATGGATCTGATACAAATAGAGTGAGATGACTGTAAGAGTTTTACATGGCTATACAGGAATGTACTTCTTTTTATCAATAGAAAATTCCTTTTTCCTTCATCCTCCAACTTGGAATCAGCTTAATAACTTACCTTAAAGCTTTTTTGCGTGTTTAAATTAACATAGTCCACCATTTTCACTGCCACATACATAAAGAAGAAAAGCAAAGTTTACTCAAAATTTCCATTTTTAGAAGCTAAGCAGCTCAAGAGTTCCAATGCCAATCACTGCACTTGTGTCTCCAGACGCCTTATCTCTGTAACCACAAGATCAATGTTTATAACTGGGTTAAAATACAAGGCCCAGTAAAACAAACAATTGCAGACAAACTGAGGAATAAAAGGCCAAAAAATGGCAACAAAAAGTCCCTGGGTTGAGACTTTCCAGAAATGTCTCCACATTCTGTGAGGAATAGTCCTGTGAAAAAGGAAAGGAAAAGGCTTAGAGGAACTTTCTGGTTTGTTATTAACCACCTCTAAGAAAAGGTAATAGGTGCTACAGCTTTAAATTATTTAGCCCTTACTTAGGTACCTGTAAAAAAAACCCACATTTTGCACTCCAGGAAAAACATTACTAAAACCCAGTAGTATCAGATTTGAAGAGGAAGCACTAAGTCAGTGCACTTAGACCCGAAGCCCAGCAGGTTCCAGTGCCACATCCCAGCTGTGCCTCAGGTTGTCCTATGTTCCCTGTGCTGTTCTGGGCACATTCTGCCCTCTATTGACTGGCAAAGGGAAAACCCACTACACACCAAAAGAAGAATTTCTCCCATACAATTTCCAAAGATCACACCAACTATGAATGTTAATATGTTTGAGTTAAGACTGAGGTAGTAAGAGAAAACAGAAAATCTGATAAATTATCAGAACTAGTATCAGTATAACTAAACTTACTTATGATTATGAAGACTTATCCTGTAATAACTACACTACTGTATCATGACTAATACCAGGCACTGTAAGATGCAGTTCTCAAGACAAGGCTTAATATCTGCCAGTGGTTAAGAATGTGCTTGTTACTGTTTCCACATTTGCTACATCTGATAAGTAAAATCACCTCTAAGAAACCCTTGGAAGCACGCATAGAAATAAAAGCATACAAGATCAAGCAATATGAGAATGCAGATTCACGTGTTGTTATTAACCTCGGAGTTTGAGTCAGACACTCATTTCAGTAAGCAACTGTGAAATTGTGAATCGTTACTTTCTCTTTATAAGGCTGTGTACTTCCTACCCTCTTCCAAAAGCATCATTAAACTTACTTCAATTCTCTTCTTGACCAGAGCCTCCAAAAGGAGAATAATTCCAGAACAGAGAGCAACATGGCATTTACAATTATAAATCTTGATGTCCAGTAGTGCACATCTAGCCAATCCCAAGCAAATTCAGCTATCAGCTGGTATGGCAAAAATAAATACTTTACACTGAATTCTCTCCATTGCCTCCAAGAAGGATCTTTAAGGTCCTGTAAATTAGGATAAAAAGACTGTTAATCAATTTTATATTAAACTGATTTAATACTGGCTTATTTCCACTAGTCTTTTGTTGAAAAGCTGGGGTTTTTATACACTGAAAGCAGTGTTTTATCTTTATTATACTTGTTAGTAGGTAATACTGTAATGCAGTAATTTCAATTAGCTTAGAATATCACTTTCTGTAGTCATGTGAACTTCAGAACAATCAGTTTCACACATTTAAAGTCTAAAAAGCCTAAAATCAATCCTATTAAAAGTAATGGTTGCAACACTGGTGACTGCATACAATAAAATCAAAGAACTACTTACTCTGTAGGTCTGTCCTTTTTAAAGTCATAGTGTAAAGAGATGAAAAGATGAGTAATTACATCATGTGGTTTTATGCTGCTAGTCTTAAAATGGTTATAACTAAAGCAAGTAGCATATTTAATGTTTTAAATACTTACAAGCAGTTTTGTGACAGTATCTTCATACTTGTCTTCTTGCATAGGACAAATTGTGTGGATGAAAGGTAGGAAAGCTTCTGCATAATCAAACAAATACAGGTATAACATACTGAGTCTTGGAGAACTCTTCAGTGCATACAGAAGGAAGAGTGATTTTCCTGGGTTTACGGCCTAAAATATATCAAATTACCAAGTTCTAATCAGTGAAAAAATAAAATTAAAAGGACATGACAGTTCTCAGATTTTCTGACAGTCCAAGGGTTGCTTTTCAAATTCAACAGTTCATTAAACTGAGCAGGTTTTACACAGGTAATTCCACTACTTTAACACTCTTCCTGGCTGTAAGAGACTCTTCTTTCAAAGGTATTACTTTAATTAATATACATGACATGACACACTTCATATTAAATTTACCTTATATTCCCAAAGGTTTTGTGGTGGTTTAACACCTAAAGTTTTCACACATTCCAGTTCTGCCATAATAGCTCTCCTATGGTTACTGTTCTCTATACTGTAAGGCTCTTTGGTGAAATCCTCCTCAGTCAGTGCTAGGAGGAGTCTACAAAAGCAGAAGAATTAAGAAGGTAAACAGTGCTTATTCACCAAAAAAGATGACTAACAAATACATGACTGCATACCCAAACAATAAGCTACTGATACAAGGTAGCACACCTTTTGAGTTAAAGAATTATAGAATACTTTGGGTTGGCAGAGACTTTCAAAGATCATCATTACATTGCATATCAAGTGTTCTACACCAACTGCATCTCAGAGCCTGGGTTTTAAATTTCCTACTTTTCTAGTTTCCTCTTGCCTGCTTTCAGCATGGCTCTTGGCTGGAATACATATGCATATAGCATATGCATATTTCCACAAGAAAAGAAAGGTGGAAGGGGTGGATAATACCTCAGTAGAATTTTACTCTAGGTATCATTTCAGTCTGCATTTTAAGCATTTTTAAAAGTTTTTAGAAAATTTTCAGGTAGCTTGCTAAGTATCTACTACTAAAAGTTTTCAACAGCAATTGTTAAAACTTCTGAAATTTATTCTTTTACATCAACAGAATATTCCCACTTCTGAAATTTATTCTTATACATCAACAGAATATTCCCATAATCTACGTAACACAGTATGGTCATTCACAATAAGTCACCCCCAACGAATCTACCAGTAGTCCAATCCCATAATAATTGCCCTTGACCATCAGGTCTCTCACCTTCCATTTACTTTCTCCAGTAAAAATCTTTCTTTGTAATGTGAAGCCCATGGACCCAGCTGCTCCAGCCAGAGTATCACTTCCTCAGCAGTCCACTTAGCAACAGGCTTGTGGACAAGAAGATCATCTTCAAATTCTCTGCTACTCCAGTGATAGCCAAGAAGAACTACCTACAGGTAAATACAAAGAAAAATAAACAAAGATCCTTTACTTGAGAAGCAAATACATGAATGATCTAAATAAACACACAATAAGAGGCTTGACACGTAGAGTTTTCCATTTCATGGAGACTAAAACATTCAAGTTATAAGAAAGTATTTTGAAGTTTTAGCCACTAACTTCCATTTGCTGCATACTGCAGTTCCTGACAGACAGCTCTGAAGGCCACTTACACTGCCCAGCTGGAGTGTCTTCTGTGCATGTAATTTAAGGATATTTGATTGCATGCTTAGAGAAGCAGACAGGGAAAACCAACCAGATGAAACTTACTGCTACACAAGTTAAAGCTGTGAGAACGCCTGAGAAAAACCCTCCTCGAGCATTAATTCTTCCTGTGCTCCGAACTGTAGGCATCTGGTCATTCCCATATTTTTGGAAAGTTGCTAAGCTCTGTGCTACATCACTGTTTTGTTGAATATCTTCTTTTCTTTGTTCAATGGCATCAGAAAATAGCTTTTCAATAACATCCCTAATAGGAAAAATAAAAGCTTAATAATCAGAAAAGGGACTAATTTTTGTATTTGTTTTCCAGCCTTTACTGAAGACTACCATCTTTGAAAACAAGAAAAAATTAGTTATTAAAGCTTAGTAAACTTAGAGTTATATCAGTCACTGTCAAACAACATTTTCCTTAGCTTCTAAAGCTAAAATTCCACAGAAATCCCAAGTTATTTTTTAATAAAGAAATATATAAAAATATATAAAATATCTGTATAAAATTAGAATTCTGTGTGCCACTGGCAAGTCTCAATTATTAAAAAATGCTAAGCAAAAGACAACATAAAAGCCTAACATCAATCCTACTACCTATTTATTTAAATATTATTAATCCCAGATAAAGTGTTATTAACGAAACAACTTGTGGGTAATTCAAGACAGCAAATAGACGTTTTTAGCTTTGTTCTGAAATATGAATATATTTCTTCCAAAAAATAATTTCTATTACAGAAATTACTACACAATTATCCAACATCAATCTAACTTAGAATTATTAGAAAACAACCAGCAATATTAGAAGATTGAGGATCCCGCCCCTCCATCTCCCAAAAAATTTAGAAAGGGGGGAAAGCCCTCCCCCCGAAATAAACCTCCTCCCTCAAAACTAAACCAACCAACCTGCCCCTTAATTCCATGTGCTTGAACAGTTCATTACAAGTGCATAAGCTGAAAGTCTTTGGGAGTTAAATTTCTTTGTGACAGTTCAGATTACCAATTATATAAGAATATCTGCAGAAAACTCAAAAGGTTTTTCAAAAAGAAGGTTTCTGTGGTTCCATTTATGTAAAAAAGACATTCACAAAATAGTTCACTCACCTGAGAAGGATGTTGACTTTGGGGAATCCTTCCCATTTTTCTCTGCATTCAGGGCATTCATTCTTCTTGGATGATACCCACCACAAGGCCAAGCAATGCCTACAGAAGCTGTGCCCACAGTTCAGGGTGGTAGGATTGATCAGAATATCATAGCAGCAGTGGCACAGGAACTCACTGACTGATATCTGCTGACCCAGGCCAGGAGTAGCACATGGTTCGACTTTTGCCCTCTCTGTTTCCCCTTGTAAAGTCCCATCTTCTTCCATTTTCCTTTATGCCTTACACAAATAGAAAGCTCTCTTAGATCTTCAAACCAGATAAGGCATTACTTCTGCAAAGCAACAAGAAAACAGCTATTATAGAAGTTTAGAATTGTAAGAAATGTGATTTATCATTGCACGACTTTTGTCACTTGGATGGTGTAACATTTTTTTAAGTAACTCAGCCCTCCCCAAAATGAAACATGTTCTACTTTTTCAACAATATATTCATTGCCAACAAAACAGTCAAAACCAGATTCTAGATGTAAACAGCTGGGCTCAATCTCCCTATGCTTTCTTCTCCCATGTTACAAAACACATGAAAGTCAAACAAAATAACTTACTTCACATTACTTTTGACAGTAGCTTTAATCAGGGTTTTAGTAAAAGAAACCAGTCAAAGGAAGAAGTACCATCAGAGGATACAAAAATAAAATACCAGTATAACATACTGATCTAATTTACTTCACCCCTCTTTCTCTCCCAAGCATATGGAATAAAACATTACTAACAGAGGTCAATGCTAGACATTGCTGGGCAATGTTAAAAGAAGTTTCATCCACCAAGTCACCTGCTTCAGAATGATAAGATACTGATCTACACGCCTTCTCATCAAAGCTCTAAACTCCACACTAATTTTATTTATAGCCACTTTGTTAGTATTACAGAAAATGCACAAATAAGAAGAGTTTAAGATGGTTCCAGGCTTACAAAACACATGAACCTCTTTGCTTGATGTTCCTACTCCATTCTCTTAGATAGCAGAATATAGTTTCTTAAGAAAAACACTTCTGCAGATCACTCACTTAATACTCATGATATATTAGAAGATACCAAGAAGAAGACTATTTTCTCCTCAGGCACTACCAAACCAAAATATGATTACACTCTCCACCATGTGGCTCCCGCTTACTACTAAGTTACCAACTTGCCATTCAGATCAAGCACGAAGAGGTAAGGACACAAGCAGGTAAAGAACAGAAATTACAAAAAAACCCCAAGTACAGAAACAGAAACCAATAGTGAAATTAGAATCCTCAGACTTCCAAACCTGTATTTCCCTGGCAAAATACAGGCTGTCAGCTTTCTAAAACAAACCGGAAACAGAACTTATAAGAGAAAAAACCAAGACCTTGCACCTCAAAGCATTCTTCTAGTTTTCCTTTCAGACAGAAACAACAGCATTTATGTGGAAAATAGAGGAAAAATATTTTACCGCTCAGTCTGCGCCAAGAGCCAGCAGCAGAATGACTCCTGGCTCCTCTCCTGTCTCTTCCCAGCTCCAGCTTCCTGCCCTCCGCGCTGTCTCCTCAGGCGCAGCACGGCCGGGCCCGCGGCGCTTCCTACCCGGGCAGGGCAGAGCCGGCGCGGATGGGACCCAGCCCGACACCCTGCAGCCGGCTCGGCCCCGGCCCGACACCCTGTAGCCGGCTCGGCCCCGGCCACGACACTGCAGCCGGCTCGGTCCCGCGGCGCCCCGGCTACAGCCCCGGGCCTAGCCCACACCGCTGCTTCCGCCCCACCCCGCCCCGCGGGCACGGCGGCACCGCCGCTCCTTCCTCACCACAGCCGCTCGCCTTTTTATTTCAAGCGTTTAAAATCACCTGACATGAGCGCTGCTACACTCACATTTCTGGGAATACGCCCACTTCCATATTCATGAGAACTGAGGTACCCTTGCTTACTGTACACTACGCACTCAGGTAGCCTTCCTTCGCAGAAACTGTTCAATGTTGATTTTACAATAAAGATTCGAGGTTTAACGAGACAAAGGTGCCAGTCTGATTGCAGTGCTAACGTATCCTGCACAGACTATTCTTACCACATAAGAGTTTATCTCTCCACACATTCACAATTACTTCTCTCAGTTTCTGTTCCCTTTCTGAAATTCTTTCTGACTAGTCCAAAAAAACCTGATTCACTCCTGCCTGTCCTTACAAGAGGTTGTATCCAGGTGAGAATGGGCCTCTTCTTCCAAGGAACAAGTGACAGGGCATTTACTCTGCACCAGGGCAGTTTTAGCTTGGACATTAGGAAAGGGTGATTAGATATTGGAATGGGCTGCACAGGGACATGGTGGAATCACCATCCCTGGAGGCATTTAAGAACTGGGCATAGCACTGAGTGCCATGGTCTGAGTGATCCGGTGTGTTTGATCACAGGTGGGACTCGATCCCAAAGGTTTTTTCCAACCTAATTGATTCTGTGAATTTTTTGAAGTGTCTCTGAGATGCATTTTTTTCAGCTGTTCAACACAGTGACATTTTCTTTTAAGATTTTGTTCCAGTTTGATACAAACTACAAGTCCAATTCAAACGACATTTAATTATTCTAGCCTATTTCAAGAAAGAAAATAGTCTTTCATTGTTTTCTCTCTCACATGATATATTTTTTTTCCAGAGAACCAATAAGCAGATTTTTAAACTACTCTAGCATGAAAGAATTCAACATCTTCTAGATCTGAGGAAGTGCATCTACCGTGGCACGCAAGGTGAAAATCCAGAATACTTGTTCTAAAATACAGTTTTTTACTACTTTTTAGTGTCTTTTCACTTAGCTTCACATTCAGTGTTCAGTAATGTAAAAGACCATACAAGTGTTTGGTAGTCTGTGCAGCAGACTTGAATGATGTGAAAATATGGCCTTTCTGTTCCAGTTTATAAAACTTCTGACATATAAAAAGCTATGGAATCTCAAACTAACTGCTTGTATTGCCCTCTCCCACTTTTTAGGTGTTCCTTCTGCTTACATAACAATACGTACATGCTGACGTAAAAAATATATAATCTGTAAGACATAGTACTTCAATTCTTATTGAAGCACTTTATTACAGTCCCTTACTGTTTGACTTGCAGTTTATTTTGTGGGTGAGGGAAGCAAAGGTTTCCTCAGATTTGTCAGCTACTAGGGGGAAAACAGTCTTCTAAAACAGCCATCAACCACTTTTAAGTGCCATGAGCACTTTAACTAGAAACTGCAGAAATGCATCTTCAAAAACAGAGGAGTAGCATGAAAATTTTAGGCTTCAGCCAATTTACTGCAAAATAAAAACATCTCTGCCATTTTAACTAACATCTTACTGGGAGCCATTTAATCATACTAGATTATTTGCTGGGAATGTCTATTGAATAAATTGCTTATACTAAAAATGCAAAGCTTAATATTGAAGAATCTTGAAGAACTCTCTCCACTAAATCCTGCATAATTCTTTATCTTTTTCTGTATGCAGAAACTACCCCCCACAATTTCTGCTGGAATTCTGGAAAAGATGCTTTATGAGCCCTGTAGCACAAACTCTAAACTCTTCCGCCGCCCGCGCCCACAACTCCTGCGCTCTGCCCCTGTGCAGCGCCTTCTCCCTGGGGCAGCTCTTCCTCCCCCAGCGCTGCTGCGGGCCCATCCTGCTGGGCGCTGAGCGCTGCTCCTTTACAGCGAGGTGTCCAAGTGCCGCTTCTAACAGGAAGACGCTCCTTCAGTAATACGCCAAAATCTGCAGTTCCCCTGGAATTATCATCATTAAGGCATCGTCGCTAGCAGTTCTGCACCATCCTCCTGGTGTCTCTTAGGCAGTCCCATCCCTTCTTTCTTGTTAGTGATAGCTACGCATTTCTGTCTTTGAGGGTAAGGCCCACATCCATGATACTTCACCACACCCCACAGAACTGCGGCTGGTGTAAGACTTCCTTCCCCCCCGGCAGCGCTGCTGCAGCCACTCCTGCGGCCCGCTCGGAGCACACGGCAGCCTGCCGAACTCACCGCTCAAAGCCGAGCCCACGGGCGGACTGGGCGGTGCGGCCCTGAGGGCTCCGCCCCGGTAGGAAATGGCGGCGGCCCGAACTGCTGTGCGCCGCTCACGTGCGGCGCGCGGGGCGGTCCCGGAAGCGCTCGGCGGCGGCGGCGGGCGGTGCCGGG